CAGAAGGACTTTGATTTCTTGTAGAAGGACTTTGATACAACATAAACTGCAGAAAATGACCACAGATGTACAAACAGCAGATAAAAACAAACAGTGTTTAATGTCTGAATTTATAAATGTCCAGGTTGTAATGGCAGTGGCAGCTTACGGATGTATAACCCTCAGCATGCCTGATCACATCTGCTGAAAGCTTCTTTATAACATAAAGGTCATTAGAAAAATGAAGCACTGGTCAAAACATAGAGTACATATTCAGTGCAGCATGTTTAATGATATATTAATAACTCATATAAGACTTAGGGTGAAGGTCAGAGCAGAGAAACCTGTGACCAGTAGGTTGGGATTAGAGTTCCTTCTTAGGGTTAGGCTTTTGGATGAGAGCAGACAAAGCTGAGTGTAAAATATCTGAGCCCTTTTTCAAATAAAATGTAGGTTTTTTTCAGGCCATGACTGAATAATTCATATAATTATGAAAAATGTCTCCTAAATTAGGTAAATTTCTGATCACATTGAATCTGACGTTGAGTTGGAGATTCTGATCTTAAAGTCATCTGGAGTTTTCAGTGCATGAGCAAAATGAGTCTGACAGACGTGGATGGATACTGAAAGGTTTTTCTTACCTCCCTCCCTTTCCTCCACAGTTACCTTGAAATTATAAACTCTTTTTCTATCATTTTAACCAGCCTGTAAGATCCAGCAGGACTGAGGACAGGTGGAGATAAAATAGGTGTGTTAACAAAAGGACATGCATCAGGTGTAGAAGAACTCTTAACTAAGGTCAAACACTGAGCCTGATTCAACACAGCCCCCAAAATGTAAACAACAAAAGGTAGAATCTGGTGTAGGTGTAGGTAAATGAAGCCAACACCAGTATACCAAAGCCAAAACACCTTGCTACTACCCTGAATGACCTTTTGCTGCGCACAGTTGCTGCAGATTTGTCTGCTGCACATCCATGATGAGACTCTTGGTGAGCACTTGCTTACTCTCCTCTGTTTGAAATACTTTATATCACTACCGTTCCTGCGAAAAGTCACCAGTACAGTTCATCTTTCCACCACCAGTGGGCAACAGATCACAGGGAAACATTACTCAGTGTTACAGCCCAGTACTGCTACTACTCTAAGTAATGTCTTCAAAGATCTTTAACGATGTTCCATTTTCTAAAAAGAAACTAAAAAGATGATTTTTAGTGTTTTAAAATTAGATCACTAAGGCCTGCTACATCATGCAGTTTACATTTTTTCTGAAATCACCAACACCCATATGAATCTGTTTAATAAAAGAAGATAAATAAGAGTAATTTTTGCCTTTAGCTGGAGTGGTTAGGACTGCAGAAAAAAGCTGATGGAGGCTTTAGAAGCAGATGAAAATCACACTTACAACATGTCATAGTCCCCAGACCTAGCTTTGTTGAGGTGGCTGTAAGGTGGCTTTGGTAGCTGTGGGTGTGGATGAAAACTACTGTAGGTCTTCGAGTGGTGGGAGTGGTTTCAGAAAGTCCTTGGCAGACACCCATTGCTCATCATCTGCAACCAATACAGCATTTGAAACTATTTTTTGTCACTGCTTGTAACCTGATTGTTGATTTCGTCATGTATAGAAAAGCTCTGTCCTCTTTCTTTTCAGATAAAAACTTATGTTTGTTTGTTTTTAGCTTTTTGTTTACTCATGTCTCCTTCTAGGAATCATCCTGCCTCCTACTTAACTACATACCTGCCTGACCCCACTTACCTTGCCTGCTAAAATGTATCTTTTGATTCCCACTTGCTCACTTACCTTTTAAAGCAAACTTACCTGTGTAGCTTTTCCACATGAAAACTACACTAAACCTCATTAAACCTGTTACATTTCTTGACTGTGTCCCTCATTTAAACTGTTCAGGTGAAACCTCGACAGCTTGTCCGTGCATCCGTTTCAAAGAACAGTTCAGCTCTGGGACAAAGATCTAGGATCTTGGTGAACTTGCATTGCCACAGGTGGAGATCTGAGATGGATAAAAGCATGTTAAATAAGTTGGAGTCATTTTCAAAGTGCATGGATAACCTGTTCGTTATGTATTTTCCTACTATTTAAAGTATTTTGGGGCTGCTTTTGTAGGTACAAAGGGTTCTGATTGGTCGATATAAGGTGATGACAAAGGTATAATGGGTACAGGTATCACATATCTGTTTATAAATGGAAAGAATGAACATGATGCCAGGAAAATAATGAGGACAATTAGCATTCATGAAGTAAATATTAGTCCTGTGGTGTATTTGACTAAACTGGGAACTTTATATAATATCTATTATATAATATCTGTGTGGCGGGCAGGATGTGGACATAAATGCAGGACAGGAGGCGGAACATCGACTCAAAAAGCAGCCTTAGTGCTGAACTCTTCACTAAGTGAGCAGGAGCAAACAATTAAAAAGTAGGACTCTCTAGGGCAACATAAAGAGGAGGAAACACACAACTGTGAGCTGACGCTCAGACAATATACACACATGCCAGTTAATGAGAGCAGAGGAAACAGATGACACTAAATAGAAAAACAAGACAAAGAAAAAGCTGCCGTTGGTCACTCTGTACAGCTCCCAAGCTGATCTATTTATTTATTGAATTCATATCTTGCATTA